CTAATATTGTGGATTATAATGTCGGGACGACATCTGTTTTGAAGGGGAGTGTGTAATAGATATGACAAGTCATGGTTGATGACCTTCCGGGTATGTCCAGCAGAGGGCGCTTGTAGCTTGCCACGGGTTCATAATACATTGGACCTTGAAGCAAGCTAAAAACGTCTCTGTTTCCTTGTCTAATATTTCCCCCAAATTAGGTGAGTTCATCCGTGATAAATGTTATATATGTTGACTGTCTGTGTGTAATATTAATGTGAAAAGCACACTGTTGGCGTGATAGTTGTTAGAGGGTATTTTTGGAGGGTTTTCTGGGTTCTGTAATTGTTGTAGCTGTTTATGCTAGCTTTGCTAGCGCCATTAGCTATTCTAGCGCCGCTAGCTATGATGGTGCAGTTTAGCTCCAAGAAGGACATTTTGTGTGTTAAATTGGATATATGTTTGCAGTATGTGCATTGTTAGTAGTTGTTTTATGTCAAGAATCGATGTTTTGTATTATACAGAGTGCTATATGTACCATTTTGTTGGTTGGTTGAAGCAAGCTAAAAACGTCTCTGTTTCCTTGTCTAATATTTCCCCCAAATTAGGGGTTCAACACAGGCACCATATATATTGACATGTCTAACAAACCAGTAAAACTGCTTCTCACCATGTCAGTCTTCTGAGCTTCAGTCTCTTCGGTCCCCGACTCCTCCTCCCTGTCCCGACTCTGAGGTGTCCTCCTGCTCTCTGCTGCCTTCAGCATCTGCAGCAAGTTGGGGCTGCATTTTAATGACTGATGTTTGTTGTTTTCCTCTTCCTCGTCTCCATTCACCACATCCTCACATGGTTCAGGATATTCATCAGGTAGTGGCAGTGTCTGGTCTATTTCCTCTGCCATGACTCCACTGGCAGCCAGGAATGATGTGAATAAGATTCCTGCTCAGGTGATCTGTCAGCAGACCATACCCTGCCCACATACATCTGATATTTCCTCCTGAAAGGCGTCTGTTTACTCTAAACAGCAGCAGTTCTTGGGTTACTTTGACTAAATGTAAAGTAGATAATAAGACCTGGATACAGTGCGTAAACTAAGGGTAAACACTGATAGGAGGACGGCTTTTGGAAGAAGAGGGAAATGTAGCTGGTGTAACTTACTTCAACCAAATAGCCATTAGGTAGACTCCAACATATTCTCATATAGTCTTTTGTACTGAAATGTCTTCTGTAAATGTTAAGACAAAGCCCTTAAAGCCTCAGGCGTTACCTGTGGGGACGCTTCTTGTTTTGTGTTGTTTTTGACAACATTGGCTCAAAATCGCTTTAATCACAAAGACATAATGTGCAATGCAAACAGAAGCTTTATACATTATGAACAAACAGGGTTAGGTGTTTACATTACAACATACCAGTATCAACAGTGACCCCCTATGTGTCGGGTAAAGAACGAAAGGCACACTGAGATCCAACTAGTGTATTTATTAGGATTTAAATAACTCATAAAACATTTGTCAGGTTTATTTATGAACGTAATGTATAACATGTTTTGCTATATAAATCGCACTCTACTTTGTCTCATTGAACTGCAGTGGAATACAATTAAAAGAGAGAGGAAATAATACTTTGTTTTTTCAACCCCCATTACATTGAAATTACATTTGGAAGTAGTCTCTAAATGGCCAGTATGAACTGAAGGAATGATAAGAGCTACAAACAAAATGGCCCCTAACTATTGTTTTTAAATCGAATATGAAACATTATGAACCCCTTCACAGAAGTTACGATTTTAGTCTAGATTACGTTCTGTGAAATGGATCAGGGTGAAGTTTGTCAAGATACTTTTATTGAGCCTTTATGATGGGTTCATTTGAAATGATTTGATTATTGAGTTGTGGCTGTCCAGTCATATTTACATACAAACTAGGTCATATTTAACATACAGATCCCCAATGTTTAACAAATGAATGTAGTAGGTTAGGAGTATCAATAGGAGATTTACTTTTTTGTTCTACTAGAGGGTGTAAAAGCTTCAAGGCTGAGACAGTGATACCTTTAGTCCCTTCTCTCTTCAGTGAGGACTTTGGGAGCATTTCAGTTTGATTCCTTCTGCTCTGTCTCTGAGTCTGAACCAGGAGAGGTTTATGAGTCGCAGTCCAGAGGAGCGATGGGAGGGGGAGCTAATACTGAATCCTCTCGCTCTCCCTCCAAATCTTTCACTCTTTCTCAAATCTACTTGATAAAGGAATTTCAGACTCTGGTGTTAAATTAGGATGGGTATAAAACTGTCTAGAGGTGTTGTGTTCATGTTATCAGTATAAAAGAAAAATTAATGTTTCTCAATTAACTGTGACATTTTGATTCTTGTTTAGGATCGAGGTCACATAAGAGACAAAAGTAGTGAGAGCATGCTAGAAAAATTGCAAAGCTTGTAGGTGTTAAGCTTAACTATCAACCATGTTCCTTTCATCACCTGCTTCTTCTTCGTACTGGGTAGAATGAGGCTATCGTTTCTATTAGTCTCCTGTTTGCTCCATTAGAGATGACATACTGTACTTTACTGAACCAGACGGTTACAAGACAAAACAGTGTCACATACTTTTATAATCAAATGCTGCTGTGAGTGTAGCAAGTTTTCTAGCAACACATCTCCCTGTACACCTGATACGGATATACACTCTGATGTTGTTTTAGACTGAGCACCAGTTACTGTCCCTTTGTCAACCATCTTCAGTTCAGCCGTCGTAGAATTTGCAAACTCACTGAACTGCATCGCTGTTTTTCATTCAGGGAATTACCTATTTCCTCCAGGGCACACACTACTGCAGTGCTGCACTCTTTTTATGGTGCAGTGTCTAGTTCCTTCCGTCAGGCAGCAGCGCAGCAGGGGTAGTTATATGGCCATGGATGAGAAGGCCCCAAGTGTCGTGGTGGAGCCAAGATATCAGGCTTTATGTACACTTTGCACCATTTGAATTCTCAGCTAAATTGAAGGTGTCACAAAAAATACTGACACTGCATTTTCTGTTATTATCTCTTTTATTTTTGTAAAACATGTATTTATAAGTGAAAGAGGGGAAGCTATTGACAGATATCACTATCACAGTTGGGATCCTTTCACAACAACATGGATCACAGATGTCATTATCTTAATAACAAGTCTAGCTAGACAGAAGGCATGCACGCACACACACACTCATTCAAACATTTACAGCTGTCGTTCAGACTGATTGTTCATGTAGGCAGTTTTTTACTGCCCAAATGATTTATGTCAACAGTATCTTTTTCTATAGTATATTATCTTCTTTTACACTATACTTTATACATATCTGCTTTGGTCACAAAACCATCACATTAACCACAATTTTACTGTCGGGGGAAAAAGAGGTTGCATGTTAAACAACATACTGCACAAGCTTGTGTTGGTGGAGCAAAGAGGAAAATATAAAACCCCAAAAGTCACTCAAATGTACATTTTTACAATACACCACATTCCCTCCAGAATTCCTTGAATACATATATATATATATATATATAATACTAAAAACATGTGTTTCGAATAATTATCGACCTGTCTGCTGCATTCGACACGGTGAACCATCCTTCACACTCTCCAAGAACTTGGAGTTTCAGGCTCTGCACTTTCCCTCCTCACCTCATACCTCAAAGACCGTACCTACAGGGTAACTTGGAGAGGGTCCGAGTCCGACCCTTGTCAATTAACTACAGGGGTCCCTCAGGGCTCTGTTCTTGGTCCCCTCCTCTTCTCCCTGTACACAAACTCGCTCGGATCAGTCATTAGCCCGCATGGTTTTTCATACCACTGCTACGCTGACGACACCCAATTAATTCTGTCCTTTCCCCGCTCAGAGACCCAGGTCGTCGCACGCATCTCTGCTTGTCTAGCAGACATCTCTCAGTGGATGTCTGCTCATCACCTCAAGCTTAACCTTGACAAGACTGAACTGCTTTTCCTTCCAGGAAAAGATTGTCCCACTCTTGACCTGACAATCAACATCGGCACCTCTGTTGTTTCCCCGACTCAGACTGCAAGGAATCTGGGTGTGATCCTAGATAACAAACTGTCCTTCACTACAAACATCGCTGTTACAAACCCGTTGCTGCAGATACACGCTTTACAACATCAGGAGGATACGTCCCCAGCTGACCCAGAAAGCCACGCAGGTTCTGGTCCAGGCTCTCGTCACCTCACGCCTAGACTACTGCAACTCCCTCCTGGCTGGTCTACCTGCATGTGCCATCCGACCTCTGCAGCTCATCCAGAATGCAGCGGCTCGTCTGGTCTTCAACCTTCCTAAATTTTCCCACACCACTCCGCTCCTCCGCTCACTTCACTGGCTTCCGGTAACTACTAGAATCCACTTCAAGACACTGGTACTTGCATACCATGCTGCGAATGGATCTGGCCCTTCCTACATCCAGGACATGGTTAAACTGTACACCCCAGCGCGTGCACTACGCTCTGCATCAGCCAAACAGCTCGCTGCACCCGCACTGCAAGGGGGACTCAAGTTCCCATCAGCAAAAACACGTGGGTTTGCTATCCTGGCTCCAAAATGGTGGAATGAGCTCCCCATTGACATCAGGACAGCAGAAAGCCTGCACATCTTCCGGCGCAGACTGAAAACTCATCTCTTTCGACTCCACTTCGAGCGAGAGAATGACTAAACAAAGAATTACTAACAAAGCACTTATATACTAATAAAGGACTGGCTTATCTATAGCCAGTTGAGTAGCACTTGAAATGTTTGGCTCTATGAAACCTGATGTACTTATATGATTCTGTTTTCTTCAAGGTTGTGTCTTCCTGGTCGAATGTACGTATTGTAAGTCGCTTTGGATAAAAGCGTCAGCTAAATGTAATGTAATGTTAAAAGTTGTGTGGTACAATTTAAAATATAAAACAGGTTCCTTTCAATGGCAGTATCTATACGTTCTACAATCTAAATAGAAACAGATTGCACAGAATGGATAAGAAAATCTCAATACTTTAACAATGTTATTGTGTCATTTCAGTTCACTAGATTTATCACAAACATGAGTCAGCTTGTTGGCCCTCATCGTGCTGTTCGTATGTTTTTGTACTGGCACATGAGCAGGTGCTTGAAGGTGTTTTTGAAGGTCGCGTTGCAGAGGGCGTAACATGCTGGGTTGATGGTGCTGTTGATGTAGCAGAGCCAGTAGCCGATGGTCCACAGGGAGTTTGGGATGCAGATGGAACAAAAGGTGTTGATCAGCACCATGACATTGTACGGGGTCCATGTGGCTACAAAAGCAACCAGGATGGCCATAATGGTGCGCGTCACCTTTTTCTCCCTGGAAGAAACGCCCTTCCTTTTCCACTTTGCCACAGCACTCTGCTTTGTCACCTGGACAAAAGAAAAAGAAGAAATCATTTTTTAATTGCACGTTTTTTGGCAACTTACAATTACAGGGGAAACACAGTTAGTGTTGTTGATTCTGGTTGCAGTGATAATTTGCTAGCTAACGTTGCAAGAAAGCTGTCCGATAATATATGTAATGGTTCGCATAAATCCTGTTTTACATTAGTAAGATCCAGAGACTAAATTGTTGACAATCCGATAAGTGAGATGTTTCTGTCTGCTCTAAATTGCTGGAGCAACCAACAGTTCCATACCTAGACCCTGGAGCTGTAAACATTTTAGTCATATACATTGTAATGGACACACTCAGTGATCAAATGTACCTTAAACAGGGTCCTTGCGGTCAGACTTTGTCTGTCAGCGGTGGAGTTCTCCGGAGAAGGTGGCTGAGTTTGGTTTGTCTTTTTCTCACCATTTGAACATTTCTGAGAGGAAGCAGGGACGGCAGTATCTTTAGACGTTGAAGCGTGGTTCCTGTCGTCTGTGGAGTCTGCCTGATCAGTTCTTTCTTCATGACTATGCCCGTTTCCATTCTGCTGTTGCAGCATTTCCTTCTCCTTCCCATCTGCAGCCTCTCCATGAGCATCTCCTGTTGTGATGCCGTCGTTCTGACATCCGTCCTCCTGGCTGTGAGAGGGGCCCTCCCCCAGACTGGCCCCTGACGGCTTCCTAGTGTTCCTCTTCACGCGGCTGCGGCTGGCCTTGGAGATGCGCCAATAGAGGTAGATCATGATGGCCACCGGTAGGTAAAAAGCTGCGATGGCTGTCCCAAACGTCACTGCAGGGTTTGAGAAGAACTGGATGTAGCACTCACCTGGCGGTACGGTTCTCCCCCCCACTATGAACTGCCAGAACAAAATGGCCGGGGCCCACAGGACGAAGGACAAGACCCAGGCCGCAGCGATCATCAAACCCGCCATCTTGGTGCTGCGGCGCGCCGGATAGCTGAGTGGCTTGGTGACACAGAAGTAACGGTCGAAACTGATGATGAGCAGGTTCATGACTGAAGCGTTGCTGACAACATAATCAACCGCCAGCCACAGGTCGCACACCACGGCTCCCAGGGGCCAGTAGCCAATCACAATGTAGACGGTGTAGAGGTTCATGGAGCAGAGGCCAATAATGAGGTCCGCACAGGCCAGGCTGAACAGGAAGTAGTTGTTGACAGTCTGCAGGTTCCTGTTTACCTTTTAGAGAAACAACATGGGGCAGGCTGTCAGATGCTAATCTTTTTTGGTACCATGTGATGTGTGTTTTCTCATTTTCTATTAGATTACCACCCTGCATGTGCTGGCTGTATTCTTATCTCTATATCTGGCTGTGCTTTTAAAAGTGTCCAGAGGTGGACATTTGAAACTTTAATGAGCAAACCAAGAAAACCCAAACCTTTATAGAGAGCATGACCAGGATGTTTCCGATGACAGTGAACAGACTGAGGGATCCGGCCACCAGGATGATGAGTACAATCTCCACAGTGGAGTACGGGCTTGCAGAGAAGAGGCTGTTATCCCCGCTGCTGATGCTGGTGGTTTGGGAGGAATTCAGAGTCTCCATACTGGCTGGTTTATGGATTTCTCTCTCAGTCTCGAATCATATCTGTACAATATCTGGTAAACACAAAACATTATGAAGTATCAAGCTTATTTTTTGCAACAGTTTTTTGATGTTTGTATCTGTCTGCACAGTCATGCGTAACTTTCAGCGTGTAAACATTTAGCAGGTGTTTGAGTGTTTTGAGCTCACGGTGTGAAGGCTACACAGGTGAGCAAATAAAGCTGCAGCAGCTGTGTTTTACATATACAACAGTCTCCCTCATACACATATCAGGAACAACACCTTAGAAAGATGGAATCTGCACAGTTTGTGTAATATTATATCTGTAAATCAGTTGTTATTCCATAATCAACTTGCTGATGACTTAATGATATCATCAATGATAGTTTTTTGCAGATACTGTAGGCATTATCTATTCTTTATTATTAAATAATAATAATTGATTATAATTCAATTGCAATATTAGACATTAACATGATAAAGTGTAGATTCAATATTGCCAAAATACCCAGATACTACTGTATACATTTCCCCCCCACCCCTAAGGGACCTGGAAGTATTAACTTTGATCAGAGTTCATTTTGTAGATTTCCCATTCGGACTTGAAAGTCACAAAATGCCCTTTGGGAGTATCTAACCCATGCATGAGATTTAATATAAAAATGTCAAGTAATAATCTGGATCCTGCAGACATAGAGGAGACACGTCATATCATAGCTGCTTGCCTGGTTTGAAAATTGGATTCTGTTTGTGCTTTCATGTTTGCTATTTGAGACAGATCCAAACAAACCTTAATAGATGCAACAGTTTTAATGTCAGACGGGGGCAGAATCTGTGAGTCTAAAAGGGTTTATGAACAACAACAATTCTTGCCTTCTGAGTGGGAGAAAAAAGGGAAACGTTTTTCTTGGCTCTGAAACTACCTGCTATTAGGGTTACAAAATACTGCTTCAATGAAAGTACACAGAGTTACACTCGGGGCCCCCCACACTGATAATCCAGGCATTCGTGGTGCCTTGGATAAAAGCATCTGCACATAACAACATATTAAATGGGAATGGAGATACCTGTTAATTTGAATGGGTTGTGTATTCAAAACGTCTGATGCCAAGCAAACAGACAACAAAACACCATAATTAAGGTAAAGTATCATTATGAGAACTATTATTTCAAAATCCCAGAAACATTAGGAATAGATCTACAATAGCAATGTGATTAACTGATGTATTCTGATCAGAAAATCAATGTAAAGACACTTAGTTGTGACCATGAAGGTTTTTGCATACTGCTAAAACCATGTAAGTGACTCCATTAGGCCACATGATAACATCGTACTGTACCTGAAATGTTTCCTTCCTGCTCTTACAGCCAGATGAAACTTCATTAGAGCATCTCTAACCACATCACCTACTCATCAAAGACCCATTCTGGGCCTTTTCTGTAGCAAATGAGAAAGAGCTGGTGTGTGTGTGTTTGTGCGCTTTCATTTAGTTGAACTATATTTTTCAGCCTTAAAGTTACGAGTCTGAAGATTTAGGGAAACAGTATAATATTTGTAATAATGTAAATATCAGGGTTAGTTGAAAGTTACTCTTAGGTTTAAGAAAATGCATTTGTACTTGCATAAATCTCGTCATATTAAAGGGACTCACTTTGAATTGTGGGACAAAACTCAGGTCCCCACATTTGAGGATTAAGTCTTGTTTCTTGCTTAAAGTTATGGTGCAGTAAGTCATTTAGCACTAACGATTGGCATAAAATGTGTCTCTAGAGAAGTTAGGGTAACAAAATGCAATTCCTTGATCCTATTAAATAAAATAACCAATTACAATACTGTGTTAATAATAATACCTTTTCGGTCCACTAGATAGCAGTTTTTTTGCTAGGGTTGACAGAAATTTGGTCAACGACATTGGTGGAATAAATGAGAAATGTGCCAATTTTTTTAGATAAACCGATGTTTACAAACTGCATTATTATTAACACAGAAAAAAAAGGTAGTAAATCGAAATAAATATTATTGCAATATTGACTTTTTTGTGTGTGAATAATATCGTATCATTGGGCCTGTAGTAGTTCCCACCACTATAAATTGTCTTTTTGTTATAAGCTGCTGTACTATAAGTGCCTTGCTGCACCCGTTTGCAATGAACATTTGGACCACAAAAGAAACTGTAATTTCAAACTGTGCAAAACTACAAACTGTAGTTACCATGTGATGTGGCATTGGTTGGTCCATACTAATAAGACCAACATTTCTAAACCTCCCTAATTGTAATCCAGGGCTACTGGACAGAGTCACGGAGGCAAACAGCATTTCTTTGACAGGCACAGAAACGTGGTAATTAGATCCAGCAGATTCTGCCTGCAACAGCTGTACCGGTAATATGCTTCTAGCTTACAGTAGTGCTCATCTGGCTGGGTGAGCACGGCTTTAAAAAGTCTGTACTGTCTTTGATATCATGAAGGATACATACGAAACAGCCGACGTCAGGTGAGATGGTGAAACAAGAGGCTTGTTTGCAGAGCCGAGAGCGGACGTTACATAGAGTACACAGTTAAAAAGGACGGTTTAACAACTGCAGGATCAAAGTGTTTCAACATTTAATTATTTAATTGAAAAGTGATTTCTATCTCATAAATGTCTTTATTTGTTTACAAAGATTGTGAATACTATGTATCAATGCATATCAGATAAATAGACTTAAACAAATACAGTACTTAGACTGAGCGATTGTTTTAAATCGCACATTGCTTTAATTGTTACAGTAACATTTAACAGATTTCAAAAGGTTTTTCAGTATTTTGAAGCAACGGTTTCTGATGTAATTGCACAAGTAACTGTTAATAGGTTTGCCACACAAGTTTGTTGTGAATCTGAAAAGTGGGAAATTTCACATCAGCCTGAGTTTTGGACTCGCACGGCAGTGTAACGGAGAGAAGAGAAAACCACTCAATATTCAACGCAGCACTGCAATGGAGCCAGAAAAAAAGGACAGAGAAAATATAAAAATAGCTGAATACAAAAGCGTGACCAGGGTGTAAAGGACAACAACAAAAATTAAACCACAAGGTACAGAGGAGATGACAAAGAGGAACAAGAAGATAAAACCACTTTTATTTTTAACAGAAGAGAGGCGACCGAGGGACTCCATCTCAGGGGACATGAGTACGAGAGTTAATGAGCAAAGATTGAATAACTTGATGTCATCTTGTAGGCCTGCAGTTTACATAGAGAAGCTGCCTGTTTGAAATCTAATCTCCTCTTACACACAAACATGTGTAACCGGGGGGATTCCTCGGCAGCACAGAGACTGGGGAATCCAGACCCAGATCTGATGCTGATGGCTGATAGAAACCTTTCAGCACAGAAATGATGATCAACATTTGTAAAGCAGCCTTTAATGAACAATAAAACGTTTTCCAGTTCAAGCCTTAAATACTAGAACCTGAGACCGCATGTGGAGTAGAACATTTAATATCATTTGAATTATCATTGTATACCTGAAATTTAAATTAATCTTTCTTATTTGCAGCAAAAGAAAGCAAGAGGAAAAAGAGTGTCTGACTTTACGTAAAGATATTAAACATTTATCAAAGAAGCTGTGGTGTAAGTCAAGTGTCCTGGTTTGCAGCAGTTTGGAAGATCCACAGAGAAATGTTATCTTACCGTGTCTGTTGGGATTGGCATGGAGGAGATGTTTTAGTTTGGTCCATGTTAGTCTCACCTCTGACGAAACTGGAGCAGAGAGAGAAGCAAAGAGTAACCCAGCACTGATGTCGCTCCTCCTTTGACAAGAACCAGTGTGTGTGTGTTTGTTTGTGTGTGTGAGTGTTAGAGAGAGACACAAAGAGAGACTGGCAGCAGGGAGGGGTTAAGGGGGGCTATTAGATGTGATGTATCCCTTAAGCCAGGGTTGCACATTTTAATAAAGGAGAGACGGATTCAGACAGAGACGGAGGAGATGTTTGTTTCAGGACCATGGAAAGCACTGGTCTCTACAGCACAAACACACCATATTATCTTCCGTTACAAACGCTGAGGGCGATGATGTGAATAGGTCTGAGTGGCTGTGACATTAAATATAATGGTAAAGCACTATTAAAATGAGGACAAAAGAGGGTTGCACTGTTATTTTGCTGTAGGACGTTAACCTTTAAGACTCAGTTGTTTTGACCTTTTAACCAAACTTGTGACGCAGTGTGCCCCAGTTGGTGGATGACCTTACTTTGATGGAATTACCCTAAAGAATAATGGTCCCTCTCCATGAAACAATATTGCAAATAAAACAAGGAGTGTGCCACCGCAAAGTCCTGATGATCTGATTTGAGAAAAGACAAGATGATTAATTGAGCTCATCTTGGTCCAGACTAATGACGCACTAATCAGATCAACTTCGGTCTAATAGTTCAATTGATTGGATGAAATGTAAACTGTGTAAGAATTCTGCATATTTTACATTCCGTGTTATCGCTTTGATTTCATATCAAACAGATATTATCTAATTCATGTGATAGAAAAATGTGTTGGTGCATTAATGGATGGGCTTCTCTCGATCGTTTGACGATTTATCATGAACACAATCAATATGACTTTACTGTGTGTCTCCACATGTATGTTGTGTTTCCTGTTTCCCTGAAGCTCTCCTCCAATTAAAAAAACAATCTAGCATGTATTATTATTTGTAGTCTGAATATATTAAAGAGAGAAAATACATTTTAGCTCTATTTCTTACCCTGATGATGCATGATAACACAGACATTAAAAAAGGTTGAATTAGGCTCTGGTATTTAGGTACATGAGGAGACACGTCATATCATAGCTGCTGCAACATTGAATGTGTTATCTGTGAGGGTGTTGCAGTCGTTGCATGGTGAGATCACTTAAAAGCTTTCTCGCAAGCACCTTAAATTGCTGGTTAAAGGTAACTAAATCTTTAGTTGTGTTGTGTCAGATGTTTTCCCTCTGTGGTCTTACAGGCAAGCTGAATGATGTTAAAAAAACACTTACTGTTTCACACGTTAATGGGCACAAATAGTAGTGTAACGGGTTAAAAGGAGGGCAGACAGAAACCATAGAGATGCACTGCTGCAGGGCATATGTTGTATGTTATTGGAAAGCAAGTGATAAAAGCCATCACCCCTTGCACACTTCCCCTCGCCTCTCTCATCATCATTCCTTTTTATCCACACATTTGCAAACCTTCTCTGTTTCTTGTGCATGTTAGTTAAACTCTCAAAGCATAAGTCCATGATAAATTATATGAATCTGTTAATGTCTTCAGAGTGAGGGGAACACTATTCAAAAGTTGCCATCCACCACTCTATGCACTCGAGGAATACAAAATATAAAGCAGCTCACAATGAAGCTCTATCCTCCTCACTATATGAAATGAAGCCTCAGGGCTGCAGGGAAATGAGGTCATCTAGTTAGAGCCCGAGCAGATGTTTGAATGGAGAAGGGCCCACACACAATGCCCATCTAACACAAGGCAGCATCACATTTCTGAAATTCACTGGTGCATAAGGTTGTCAACAAAGAGGTGGAATTCAGAAAACCTAAACGTCACACTGCATGCTTTTCTTTGCTCACACAATTATAAACTACATCATGTGCTAATAGGACAGACATTTACTGTAACTCTTCTCTGGGCCTGAAGCTAATCGTGACATACAAATCGTGACTCCTGTTCTGAAGACGCATCAAAGATCTTAAATCATGATTGTGAACAGTTACTACTGGCACTGATATTACCTGTACATACCATGGATTCCAGTCACAGAGCTGCATATCTGTATTCTTGAGAAAAATAATGACACCTGAAAACCCAAAAGTTGTCAGACTGCTCAAACACTGCCATATACTGTAGATGAAAAACGATTCTCTCTTCTGCAAGACAAAAAATACACTGTCAACCCAAGATTTATCCTTGATCTGTTTTAAGGATGTTACTCTGTTTAAAAACATAAAATGATACCAAGTTACATAAATGCATACAACTAAAGCTGATTACAAACAATTGTATTTTGATTTATGTTATAGAAAATGAACACGGACATGTTGTCATCCGGCTACCATCTTTATTTAAAAGGTGCATTTAAAGGTGGGTGAAAACAGGTTTAAAAATGTGTAAATCACACAGTGGGCAGAATATTGTTTTCTAATGAGAATTGTAAAAGCAGTCAACACTGGGCTAAAGCTAATTATGACTACACTCCATACCTATATTTTCCTATAGATTCACAGAAGAATATAGTGTTGTCTCCATATGAATGGTGATGATGTTGAGCGACACACAGCTATTGTTTCCTCTACAGCCAGACAGTTGATTTATTTCCTACCTGAAGACACAATAAAAAAACGTTTTAAAGATAAAGTTTTAGCAGGTAGTACACTAACTTATAATGGTAAAAGGGCACCGTGTTTTATTGAGCATGAGCAATCAACACATTTAGCTCCACAAATGTTGCTCTTATGATAACAGTTTGTGTTAAAGAATTACTCAAGCAGCTTAGTATTGCATTTCCATTAAGTTTGGGCCAAAATAGCCTGACTTTTGGTTCCTACTATAGGTCGTCAAACAAATACTCTTCTATGAAAAATATATACATATATAACTGTTCTCACAGTCCAAGTACTGATGAATAAACTGAATTAATGTGTAAAATCAATTGAGTACCCCTTTAAGGACTAAATCATTTGATCTTTCTGATGATCCAGTGACACACATTCTAAGGGGCTCATACGGAATAATTTAGTTTATAGACAAATGTCACATAACCATTGATCAGATCACATGTGAACACATATAAAAGCAATCATCTTTCTACTTTAAGGTCCCATTAAAAATCCTTTCTTCAGCCACTTGTGGGGTTTCTGATTGATTGCCTCATGACTCTGCTACCACCTGGAGGACTGACATGGTCCTCTTCTCTCTTCAAAATGTGCAGTCTCTTCTTAACAGACAGCTGTCAAAGCCTTTGTCATTCACCTTGTTATTCTAAAGGGAAAACAAACACAAATATTCGCTTGCAACTGGCTAAACGTAAAAACTAGAATTTAATGTAAAAAATGTAACTATTTAACCAAATATTTAAACTGTGATCTAACCATCATGCTTCAATTCGCAAACCTAAGTCCCTTATCACATAAGTGCACGGGGCTATAGTCTCAGGGCTATAAAGCATGATAAAGTCAGAATCTCTCTAATCTAAATAAATAGAACAGGTTGAGAATGTATTTCCATTTAATCTCTTTATTAACAAAGTCTGAGAGGTTAGGCTTTTCTGACGCTTTCATAGCAGTTTGCTCGGTTGTCATAGAGATGTCTGTGTCGGCATTATGTCACCTGATGGGGCTTAATCATTATAAATATAAAGGGGGAGGTAGGTTTGTGTCTCTTTTAAAGGATGGTCTATCGCTTCAAGTATATTTTATGAATATTCCTCCTTGATCCTTCTCCGTTTGTTGCTGGGTGACTCTGACGTTTCTATGTGTTCACACACAGCTGATGTTACCAGAGTCAATATTCTGTCTTTATATTTTTTAATGATTCTGATTATTGATCTTTTTGTAAGTAAAACACGTTTAGTCTATTTAGACAGCATAGTTATAAGACATACCTTAAACAACTTGACTTCAGAATTATATGTAACTGAAAACAAAAACAGGACAACACTAAATGAATGAAAATCATATAAGTAACATTTTCCTTGAAAGTACACAAACTGGTAGACACATTAGTTTAAGAGGTACTTTAAAGCGGTCCAAAAATGATCACCAACACAATGTACTGTTTATTCATTTATTTATATTTTATATTGTTTAAAGGTCCCCTATTATACTGTTTTTCATCAATATATTATAGGCAAGGCAAGGCAAGGCAAGTTTATTTATATAGCACTTTTCAACACAAGGCAATTCAAAGTGCTTTACAAAAAATGAAAGAGATTAAGAAAATGGCATTTAAAATCAGTCATTAAAAAGAAAAGCTAATAAAATAAACATTAAAAGAAAAAATACATGGCAGTCAATTAAACATTAAAAGAAAAAAGTACATGGATAAAAGTTACAGTGCAGTCTAAGATATGAATAGTTCAATTAAAAGCAGCGACAAAAAGAAAAGTCTTCAGCCTGGATTTAAAAGTAGTCAGAGTTGCAGCGGACCTGCAGGTTTCTGGGAGTTTGTTCCAGATATTTGGAGCATAATAACTGAACGCTGCTTTACCATGTTTAGTTCTGACTCTGGGGACAGAAAGCTGACCAGTCCCTGAAGACCTGAGAGATCTGGATGGTTCATAATTTAGCAGGAGGTCAGAAATGTATTTTGGGCCTAAACCATTCAGTGCTTTATAAACCAGCAGCGGTATTTTGAAATCTATTCTTTGACACACAGGAAGCCAGTGTAAAGACTTCAGAACAGGAGTGATGTGATCCACTTTCTTAGTGTTAGTGAGGACTCGAGCAGCGGCGTTCTGAATCAGCTGCAGCTTCCTAATAGATTTTTTAGTGAGACCTGTGAAGACACCATTGCAGTAGTCGAGTCTACTGAAGATAAAAGCATGGACAAGTTTTTCCAAATCCTGCTGTGACATTAGTCTTTTAATCCTAGATATATTCTTTAGGTGATAGTAGGCTGATTTAGTAACTGTTTTAATGTGACTGTTGAAACTCAGGTCAGAGTCCATGACTACACCTAGATTTCTGGCTGTATCTGTTGTTTTGAACATTGCACACTGAAGCTCAGCGCTAACTTTGATATGT